GAGGGGCAGAGAGAGAGGGAGAGAGAAACCCAAGCAGGCTCTGCACAGACAGGGCAGAGCCCAACACGGGGCTCGATCTCAAACCACTAGACAGTGACCTGAGCCAACATCGAGGGTCAGATGCTTGGCCTACTGAGCCACCCAGGTGGCCCAGGATTTTTTTTTTTATTTGAACATAGTTGACACACAAGGTTACGTTAGCTTCAGCTGTACAGCTCAGGGATTCAGCATCTCTGTACATCATGCTGTCCTCACCACAGGAATTTCTACGTTTTGATGCACGTACTCTTCAAGATTCCTCAATTCTGTCTCTGAATAAGGAAGCTCCTCTTGTGACCCATCAAGATTCTGGAGTCCTTGTAGAAATCCCCCAAATCTGACTTAGCCAGACTGCTAGCTCACACTATTCATTGGAGTGATTTCTGCATCCAGGAGCTCGTGGAGGTGACGTCACACGCTTGTCTTGCTAGTCCTGCAGGAAAGCTGCTGTTCCCAGGCAGTGCAGACTTGCATGGGTCACCCAGGGGAGCCGACCTGGACTTGTTGAACCCATTTTTCTTTTTTAAGTTTGTTTATTTTGAGGGAGAGAGCACGAGCATGAGAGGGAGAGGGGCAGAGAGAGAATGGGTGAGAGAAACCCAGGTGGGCTCTCCACCATCAGCTCAGAGCTCAGGGTGGGGCTCGAACTCACAAACTGTAAGATCATGACCCAAGGCGAAGAAACCAAGAGCTGGCCTTTTAACTCACTGAGCCGCCCATGCTCCCCGAGCTCAATTTTCTCATCTTGTACTGAGCTGGGCACTTTGCTAACTCTGACTCATTCAGTCTCCACAGCCATCTGAGAGAGAGAGAGTAAATAGAAGTATGTCCACACTGCAAGTACAGAAACTGAAGTGTCTGAGCCCAGGGCAGCTGAACCCTGGCCCTCCCTCTTGCCACTTTGTGCCGCTCTTGCAGGTGGGGGGAGGGCTGTCCAGTAGCACCGCTGCTCCCGCTGAAGTCACCCAGCCGCTGGCCAGCCTGCGGAAGGACTGTGAACGCCCCAGAGGTCCCACTTCCCTTCTTCCCAAGTAGTGGCAAGTGTCCCCCTCTGTCAGGCGAGAGCAGGAGCCTGGAGGCCTGTGCTGCCCCAGCTGTTTCTCTCCCATCGTCGGGGTCCTCGCCATAAGGAACGGCAGGAAACCTGTTCCTGATGCTGCTGAGGTTTTGCCCCCCCTTTTGGGAGGGGCAGTAAAAAAATCCTTCATTTTCTACGTAAAAAATGGTTTGAACATTGGTTAAATCTTAGACCAGTCCAGAAAAAGACCTTTAATCCACAAAATAATTTAATTATACTTGAACGATGCTTCAGACTCATTATTTTGAGACAACATAGGGTAGTGGTCAAGTGCCTGAGGTCTGGAGCCTCCCGGAGTTGAAACCCTGTGACTGCACGTCATTAGCTATGTGATCTTGGGACACTTTAACTGCTTTTTGTGCCTGAATTACCCATCTGTAAAACGGAGAGAATGTTAGCAGCGGTCTCACAGGGTCGCTGTGAGAATTACATTGGTTACTTCACGTGATGTGTGTAGAACGCACAGTTAACACTCAGGCCTTATCTATAAAATTATTTTGTGGCTTCTGGTTATTTGCCCTTTAGAATATAAGCTCCATGGAGGCTTTTATCTTTTCCACTCATACCCAGCACCCGGAACACTACTTGGCACATAGTAGGTCCCTGGCGAATGAATGAACAGATGAATGAATGGACATACAGTATGCTAAGTAAGCTTTTGGAGGCTGTCCTGAGAAGGGTGACCACCTACTCGGGATTCCGAACCAAGCCTGAAACAGCTGTGTGACTAGTCTAGAATTTCATGTATCATCATGTTCCTCAGGCAGATTAGTTCTCCTCTGTGAGCCTCAGTTTCTTCTTACTGGTCAGGTGGGGGTGATCCTGCCTACTCCACAGGGTTATTAGTATGAGGAATAGACACATGAGCAGATCCTTTTTTTAAAGGAAAGGCTTGACATTAAACAGCCATAGCTACCTTCAGACCATTTGAGCAGTCTGATTTAAAGTTGATTGATTGCAGCTATTCTTGGGAGTTCTCAGGAACACCAAAGAGGGTAAGACTGGTCAAGAGGACTCACTCAGCTCTTCCTCAGGTATCAGCTGAGGAGCTAACTCCTGTTAGGTCTCGTGCGTGCAGGGTGAACCAGGCTAGCACAGTGCCAGCCGGGAGCTGCAGGACGTCACAGAGCCGGCTCTGTGAAGAAACGGTGAGCAGAAGGTTTATGGAGGTTCCGAGATGATGGGTGAAATCTCCTGGATGCGTTTGATGCGTATTTCTAGCTCTGACCATCCTGACACAATAGTGATTGTTCTGCATTCTTAAGTACTGCTAATTTTACGGTAGAACACTTGAGCAGTAAAGTCTAATGAATGACCCCAAAATAGGAAGGATTAGATTATTTTTAAGCTTATATGAAAATACGTCTGATGAAGTTAAGAAAAAATGTCTGAAGTGTAGCTTGAGATTTGTTTTAACACATACTAAAAGTTAGGAGGAAACAGTTGTGACCAACACTCGATCGTGGCCCAGAAATGGACAAATGGGTGATGGGATATGAATGGAGGCCTGAGATAGAGGCAACTGTGTATGAGATCTTAACATCGCATGTGGAGAAACGATTTCTATCACAAATGATGTTAGTATAATTCATTATGCATCTGGAAGAGAAGCCAAATTCAAGGTGGATTAAAGATTTAAATTTTAAAATACAATGCAAAATGATTAGAAAAAATCGAGGAGGCTTTCTGTCTAATGTTGGAGTAGTGGAAATGTATGTAAAAGAAGACAAGAAATGGTGAATACGAACACGTTTGGTCAAAATCAAAGTCAAATGATGAACCAGAGAGGCAACGGCACCCATCTGGCAAAGCGTTAATGATCCTAATAAGTAAAAGCTCCTAGAAGCTCACAAGGAAGAGACAGACTCCGAGAGGAGGGCAGGGTAAGGAGGATGCCACACAGGAAACGAGGGCCGTAAAGCAGACGATGGAGACAGGAACCAGGGATTCGTTGTCACGGTCAGAGCGGCGGAATTTCAGAGTTGTACCTTACAGTGCTGGTGAGGATGTGGAGAAACGGGCCCTCGTACACTGTTAGCAGGCATGACGTGAATTGTCTGGCCGTGGTTGTTAAAAATAAGCGCGCCCTTTTAGCTGGCAGTCAGTCCCGGGCGGAAGAATCTAGCCTGTGGGAATAGCAGTAGTTAGTAAGGATTTGGTTTCAGAGCAGTGTAGCAGTTAGTGTCCGTGGTGGCCAGCAAACCCAAAGACGCCCTGCAAGTTCCAGGAACCAGCAATGAGGAGTGATCGAATCCATCACGGATTGTTTCTTCAGTGGAGAAAGTACACTCTTCAGAACACACGTCCAGTTGAGATTTATCTGTCCATTGTGTAACGGCAAAGCCGACTGCTGAGTAAGATGGATGGTGTGCTCCTGTTTTGGTTTTGTTTGCTTAAAAAGATCCAATGGTGTAAACCGGTGTGCGAGACCGTGGCGGAGGATAGCACACTGGCAGACGGTCCCCCACCGGTGCCTCGGGGCCCCGGGGGTGCGGGCTGGCTGGCTGTCAACTTGTGCTTCGTGGATTTAGGTCCTAGCATCATTCTGCGTGTCACGGCAGCAGGAGCAGGTCTTTCTTCCTTAGGAAGAAAACGTCAGGGAAGTAGACAGCAGGGGAATGGTCGAGTTGTAACGAAAACAAAAAACAAACAACAAAAACAACTCCCTGATTTCCAGATAAAATAATTCCACCGTGATCATTTGTGGTGAAGTGTACTTTAAATATGGCCCATTTTTCTAGGAAGGAACCAAAAATGTTACAGGTTGTGGGGAAAAGGCATGAAATGTCTGAAAATAATGCATTACTCCCTTAATCCCTATGAAATGAAATCGCCTTTGACATTTCCTATTTTCCGTTCTGCACATACTTAAGTGTGGAGTGGAGGGGAACTGCTTGCCTGCCTTGGCAATGATCACCTACAGGTTTTAGCGCAATTTCTCATGTACCTTCCAAAAACAGCACTGAGGCAGCCACACGATAAGCTTGTCGTGATCTTCACAGAAGTGTTAATGAAAATGGAATCCCAGATATGTTCTAGAAAGGTGAAACAAGCAAGAATGCTTACCTTGCTTGCCGGAAGTCGTTTTGGCAGTAGGTTTAGGTGTGTGCCCCCTGGCGATGAGACGTAGGACGGCAGGGAGGGACCCTATAGGCGCCAGCATCTCTCCCAGGCTGGAGGGTGCCCACAGTTGCGCGGCGAGTTCAGAAACCGCGTTGGTTATACGGCTTTTCTTCAACAAGCTGAGGGCAGGCAGTGAGGCAACTCCGGGAAGGCAGTTTTGGCCCAAACAAATTTCTCATTTTTTGCATGTGATGTGTAGCGCTTTTTTATAACCTCATTAACTTATTCTTCTGAATAGAGCTGAGTAGAAATGTACCATTACACACCGAGTCAAGTTAACGTCTGCAAAGCTAGGCTAATTGAGAATGATCAGAGCCTCTGCGAGCACCTTCACTTCAGAAGAACTTACATAAAAACATAAATTATTATTAGAGTGGACTACAGATCATTCTTGCCCCGTGGTAAAAGCAAGTTTCTGACGTCTTGTATTTAGTCATATTTTGTTAATTGTGGTTATCTCAATAACTTGAAAGAAATTAAACAGTTTTTATTCTCCCACAAGTCAGATTTTCACTGATACAGTGTAGCCACCTTATACGGGATGCCAGTTAAGGTTTCTTTGTATCTAATGTTGAATTCTTAAGTAATGGCTTAATTTATGGAAATTCTCTGGTTTCTTTTTTTAATCCCTTAATTCTTTTTTTTTTTTTATGTTTATTCATTTTTGAAAGACAGAGATAGAGCACAAGCAGGGGTGGGGCGGAGAGGTGGGGGGGACACAGAATCCGAAGCAGGCTCCAGGCTCTGACCTGTCAGCACAGAGCCCGACGCGGGGCTCGAACTCACGACCCGCGAGATCATGACCTGAGCCGAAGTCGGATGCTCAACCAGGCACCCCTAATCCCTTAATTCTTGATGTCAGTGTTGTAGTGTTAAATTGTGTAGAACAGAGCTAGAATCTAATTAACAGGTGGGTTACTTAAGCCACAACGCAGACCTGACTATTGCACTAACCAGTTTTGAAATTGACGAATTAGTTCTTTTCACCTATGCGTGGACTTCTACGGGGCCTGGTGGTTTCTCATGGGCAGTTAGTAATGAATTGACAGTAGTCCAACAATTTGTTACTTTACGTCTAGAGGGTTTTTTGTGTTAATTTTATATACAGTTGTAATTCTTCCTCGAGTCCTAGACCGGGTACATTTCCAGTGATGACTGAGGCCTCATCAGTGCACCACAACTGTTGACTTGATGTGGCCTTGAGCCCTCAGCAGCTGAACTTGCTGTCAGTACGCTGTTTAACCTGTGCTGTTTTCTCTTTCAGACGGGGAACCGGTGCTTTTAAATCCAGAGCGGGACTGCCTGCACCTGCTCCTGTTATCAATAGCAAATACGGACTCAGAGAGACAGATAAACGCTTAAATAGGCTTAAAAAGTTAGGTGACAGCAGCAAAAACTCAGACAGTCAATCTGTCAGCTCTAACACTGATGCAGATACCACTCAGGAAAAAAACAATGCAAGTAAGTAAGGGAGATTTGATAAGCATATATCTTCGTTTTTCTTTTTTTCTTTTTTTAAGTATTTTCACACAATTATCTTTCTAAAGTGTGCTTCACTTCAGTAGTTTTGATCTTTTAAATCTTGAGAGAAACCCTGGGACTCGTGTGCTTCAGCAGCACTGCAAGGTTCTAGACATGATCTGAGCACAAAAGCAGTCTGTGTCCCACCTCCAGATTCAGTCCTGTGCCCTCGACTGAACTGTCTGCTTTTCTTGAATACCTGGTAACTGGATATTACGTTCTTCATCATGTGTTCCAGGGTCGTCCTGTGTTTGAGAGACACATTTTCAAGGTGTTAGTTTGACTGTCATGATGGCATTAGGTCCTACGGGAAGACGGAGGACTGGGTAGAGGCGTAGAGGCGCACATGCGTCCCCGCGCCAAGCCCCGGTCCGTTAGCACCCATGACGCGAACTTGGGCAGTTCGTAGCTTCTGGCCTCGAGGCCTCCACCTTTTTACTGCTTGCTTGCCCTTTTCAAAATGAACTGAACCAATTCACCAAACCGCCAGTTCCCAGACTCAGAATTGGGAGAGAGGAGCGTTTCGAAGGTTGCTATACTAGGACATGTGTTAGCCACTACTGAAAACAGTGAGAGAGGTGAGAAGAAGAAGCAAGCCTTAAGATGCCAGTTGTACGAGGGGGCAAGACCATATGCAGACTGGAGAGAGAGAGAACGGAGAATAAAGAAAAGAAAGCGAAGAAAACCGAGCCGGGCAAGAAGGAAACGCGTCGTGTCTGTGGAGCTTTGAAGTCCTGGAACCAGTTTCATGGCTGCCGGTTTCCTCTGGGTAACACCGGTTTCCTCTCCTTGCCGCTAAAGCTGTAGGCTCGTTAGTCCGCTGGTTTCTGACAGGAACAAAGTCTCAAAGTTTTGACTCCGTGATCCCTAGGGACGCCCCTTTCGGCGCGCCGAGTATCCACGGCTACTTGGTAGTGCCTCCGTGCCTCCTTAAGTCTGGCTGTGCTGGGCTCCTCTCCCCGTCTTCGGATGTTTTCAGCCCAGCACAGGTGCACCCCTTCCCTGCAGAAAACCCTGGAGCAAAGGGACGGCAGCTCCCACGATGGTGAATGCCACTGCCGTGAACCCTGCACCTGCCTGCCGCCGGGGGCCGGGTGTAAGCCCAGTAGTGGAAGAGCAGTGATGCGTTCCCACTCCAGCCCTTACTGTCCCAGGTGAACAGAGAGAGAGCAAGCAGTTAGCCCGTCATTCACTGTTGACTGTTGGTTCTAACAATAAATGGAACATAACCAATGTTTTGTTTTTGGAGTCTGGTTCCTTGGTGAAACTGGAGACTTGTGAAGCCCGGTGTAGAAATTCGTGCGTGAAACACTAAACAGCACGGCCACGGCCACCACGCTGCCCACAGCGAATGGCTCTGTGACACGGGGGGCGTTAGCTCTATGCCGACTGTATACATACTGAACCCGGTACACCACAGGGTCTAAAAGAGCGTAAGATAGACAGCATCTGGAAGTGTACTGACTATGTGACCAGCTAGGGAATATTTATTAGTAAACCAAATACTTCTTAAAAGCCCGCTAGTTGTTGAAGAGATACGGAGATGTGTGGGACTTGGGCCCTCCGTCAGGGAGCTTACGCCTTAGCTCCGGGATACGACGGATACACAGGTAGTTACGTAGAACCCTCTAGAAATGCCATGGCTCGAGTTCAGAGCGAACAAGTAACCCCTTTGAGCTGTGGTCCCAGCATTACCGAGTAGAAATGCGTTACTTCCCAGTGACTGCTTGCAGAGGGGGCTGACTTGGTTCAAATTCCCTTTCTGCACAACGATGGTTTCGAGTACTTGGAGGGTCGAGGTAGCTAACTTTGAGGGCCGTGTGTTAGCGTTGACAGGCGTGGCTCCGTGCTCTGGAGGAGCCAGAGGCTTAGCACCGGTCACCCCTGAGGCCACCCCACACGAGGATACATTCACAGCAGTATTCCTGCAAGCCCCCCCAGGTATTCTCTCAGATGGTATTTCTTTTGGTGTTTGTGTCTCGGC